CCATTACTGGCATTTTCTGGTACCTGTGTACAGGCTGCAGCGTAAAGGAACCTTGGTCTGAGCCATAGCTCTACTGCATACCGAAATCACTTAAGCTCATCTAAACTGAAAATTCTTTTATCTGTAAAATCAGGACAGCAATAATACCTTTCCTATTTATGCTATTATTGTAAAGATGATATGAGAAAAGACACACGAAAGACACTCTGTATTGTAAAGCACTATAGAAATGTTTGTCCTTATAATTACCAATAATAATAATAATAAATGATAACAATAAGAATAATAAATGGCTTGTCAGATGGAGTGCTGAGGGGCCGGACAGCCCAGTGCATCTGGTAAAACTTGGGGCTGGATCGCAGGGTATATCAGTCTTCTTGGGCTGCTATAGCAAAATACCTGAGACTAGGTGGTTTGAACAACTGATGTCTATTTCTCTAAGTTATGAAGGCTGGGAAGTCCAAGAGCAAGTCCCAAGTCAGCTTTCCTGGAGAGAAAAGTGAATGCATTTCTGTGGTAGGCAGAATAACGGTGCCCACAGATGGCCATCCCCTAACCCCAGAATCTGTGAACACGAAACCTGCTGTGGAAAAAAGGACTTTGCAGATGTGGTTGAGGTTATTGGACTGACATGGGGAGATGATCCTGGAGTGTCCAGGTGGGTCCCATCTAATCCCAGGAGTCCTTTCTCAGCTGTGGTCAGAAAGAGAGCACTGTCACGACAGAAGAGTCAGAGAGATGCAAAGTTGCTGGCTTTGAAGATGAAGGAAGGGACCACAGCCAAGGAATGCAGGAGGTTCTAACGTGCCACACAAAGGCTAGGAAATGGATTTTCCCTTGAACCTCCAGAAGGAATGTAGCCCTGCCAACCTGTTTTGGAATTCTGACCTCCAGAAGTGCAAGATAATACATTTGTGTATTTTAAGCCACTGTGTTTGTAGTAATGCATTACTGCAGCAAGAGGAAACTAATACAGCCCCCAAGTCTGTGTTTTGATGATGGAATGGACTGAAGTATGCTTAGCAGACAATGAACATGATACCTGGAACCGTGGAATAGGCGAAGAGAAAGTCAGCTTCCACTGGGATCTTATATCGGGGATTAGCATCTGTGTCATTGATGGGCCCTGAATCGGCCTGGATGCCATCATCGAGCTCTGTCCCTCGGCAAGCCTAAGTATCAAAGCAGACATCAATCTATGCCGTTGGGGACAGAAACGTGCATGCTGTTCACTGCTGCATCCCAATACCTAGAACTGGGACAATACCTAGAACTGGGCAAACTTAGGAGCTCAGTGATAATCTGATGAACAGATGAATGAATGAATGTGTGTCAAATTACTAAGCAAAGCAAATAAAAGTACTGCAATGTCTTAAAGAAACCTTCATAATTTATGGCTGGTCGTGAAGTCTCACACCTGTAATCCCAGCACTTTGGGAGGCGGCCAGGAGTTTGAGACCAGCCTCACAAACAGGGTGAAACCCCATCTCTTCTAAAAATACAAAAACTAGCCAGGCATGGTGGTGCATGCCTGCAATCCCAGCTACTTGGGAGGTTGAGGCAGGAGAATCACTTGAATCTGGGAGGTGGAGGTTGCAGTGAGTTGAGATTGCCACCACTGTACTCCAGCCTAGGTGACAGCGAGACTCTGTCTCAAAGAAAAAAAAAAAAAAGAAATCTTCATAATTTGTGATCCAGTGCAAACACATATGTCAACCATTCAGTGACAGAAAAATAAAACCCTAATTTTAATTTGGAAGAGCACTTAGATTTGTAAAAATGATGCCATCCCATCACTCTGTAATCTTTCCCCATTTTCAAGTGTACCGGCATTGAAAAGAGATTACCTGAATGAAGAATAGTTTGGGTTTCTCTAAAAGGGTTCTGCATCTATCCCCCCTAAAATGGGCTGTCAAATCCTTTATTGGTGTGACGCCATCTTTCCCATAAATTAAATTTTCTTCTCCATGGCTTAAGAGGATGCAGGCGAAGCAGGCAGCATTTGTATGGTCCTCTTCAGAAGCTGCAAGCAAACAATATGAACATTGAAGAGTTAATGCTTAAGTTCTTGGGGGCCTCAGAAGCAGCATTTCCAGAGGCAGCCTGGTAGCTGCCCCTGACTATTAGAGGGGTACAAGGGAGTAGAGGGGAGGGCCCGGGCACTGGGCTCCTCTCAAAGGACCAGACTTATCTAAGAAGTTAAGAGGGAGGGATAGCGTATGGGGGCTGATGGGCATGGCCCTACTGTTGGCTCGTTCCGTGATATCAGGAGTCTTACTGAACCATTTTGTGCCTTGGTTTCCTTATCTGTAAATTGTAAAACAGGCCATATAATAACCATCGTGCACGTATGTGTTAAAGAGAATAAAATATTATACTAAGTGAAATAAGCCAGTTACTAAAGGCATGCATTGCATGACTCCATTTTCAGGAGGTACCTTGAGGAGTCAAGTTCAGAGAGAGAATATAGGACAGTGGTTGCCAGGGGCTGGAGGGAAGGGGAAATAGCTAGCTAGTGTTTAATAGAGCCAAAGTCTCAGATTTGGAAGATGAAAAAAAGCCTGGAGATGGATGGTGGTGATGGTGATACACCATGTGAATGTCGTTCTGATCCATAACACTTAAAAATGGTTACGATGGTAAACTTTACATTATGTATATTTTACCACAATTAAACAAAATTAAAGAAAAAATAAATAAAAATGCTAGATTGGATGTGCATTTAGGGTACTGAGGAGAGGAATTATAAACCATGTAGTTAGTTGGCCCAGCTAGAACTCATCAAAAGCTCTGGGACACTAACTAACCAGCTATTAGGTTAACTAACTAACCATTGCTTTTAATGGAAAAAACTGCAATTGCTTTTGCACCAACCTATAACTAGATAATAAACTTATCCTTTCTTCTCTGATTGAGAGGGAAAGGAATAACTTTTAGATACTTTACATGAGTTACCTTTAATTCCTACAAGACTGGAAGTAGGCCTCATTTATGTTTATTTCACTGATAAAAAAAATGAAACCTCAGAGATATTTCATAACCTTCCCCAAAGGTGGTACAACCTGTTGGAGCCTTGGGGCCATGCTTTAAGCCCAGGACACTGCACAGTTCAGCTACCTCACCAGCTCCAGGCAGAGCAAGAGTGGCCTCTCCCATTCGAATGCCTGAGACACCTTTGTATCATCTGCACAGTGATTCCGATATTAGTTTTGACAGCAGAGGTACAAGGCGATGGTGAAAGTTGGGAGTTCTTAGCTTATTTTAAGATCACACAAATTAGGATTGTTAGAAAACGGGAGTTTTGTCTTCACTGGAACTGACTGCATGTAAAGTCAGAAAAAATAAATGCTTTACTAGTTTGAGAGCACAATAAACAAGAATTCTCTGATTGTGGCATGCTTTGGGCTTGGGCAGAATGAATCACCTTTTAAAAGAACAGAAACTACAATTGGGACAAGTTCATATGCCTGTCTGGGCCATTATACTTCTCAAAGCATGCTCACAAAATTCCTCTTGGCTCACAAACTTCCTCACTCCATCTGCAAGAAACAGCAGGAGCTGGTATCATAATCTGCATTTCAGGAAAGCAAAAAAATCAGGATGATGTGGTTGCCTTGCCTGGGTTGCCTAGCTGTTAGAACTTGGGCCAGACTTGGATCTAGGACCCCTGATTTCTAGTCTGGTCTAGCACATGACCTACTAGGGTACAAAAGGTCAGCTTGTAACAGTCAAGTTGGAGGAAATTAGGAAAAAGCCTAGTTTAAAAAAATAGAGACAGTGAGGACTTTTTGTTTTAGCTGCAAGATTAAGAAACACAGCCGTGATTGAGACTGTGTTCCTATCTACTTCCTGTGGGTCTGTGTCTAAAGAATTGGTAGGATGTTACTTTCAAACACTCGCCCTAAATGCCAGAAGACCCTGGGTGGCATCCATTAGAGAGGGTGGTGTAACAGAAAACGCATTTGTCCTGGAGTCAGAAGACCAGGGTGTGGGGTTTTGGTTCTGCCCCTACTAACTGCAACCTTTGGTGCATCTTCCATCCTCTCTGAAGCTCCACCCCTTCATTTATTTTATTTTATTATTTTTTGAGACAGAGTCTTGCTGTCACCCAGGCTGGAGTGCAGTGGCACCATCTTGGCTTACGGTAACCTCTGCCTCTCGGGTTCACGTGATTTTAATGCCTCAGCATCCCAAATAGCTGTGATTACAGGAGTGCACCACCACACTCGGCTAATTTTTGTATTTTTAAGTAGAGATGGGGTTTCACCATGTTGGCCAGGCTGGTCTCGAACTCCTGGCCTCAAGTGATCCTCCTGCCTTAGCCTCCCAAAGTGCTGGGATTACAGGCAAGAGACACCACACGTGGCCCACCTCTACATTTATAAAATGAGCATTAGATTCTGTTCCCCAACATTGCAGGGCTCCTGTTAAAGAGCTAATGAAATAATTTTGTGAACATGCTATATAAAAAATAATGTAGCTCTAAAGTATATGGGAATTATTATTCTCTATCCACCACGAGAGAAAAGTTTATACTTACACTTCATTCTGGAAAGGATGACACAGATTTTTTACTTCCAGGAATGAGTCTTTTGAAATTGTGACCATTCTATATATAATGAATCTATTTCTCTTGCTGGAATTTAAGCTAATTTCATATTTTTATGAAGAGATTGAAGGCTCCCTGAAAGAGACCTGCCTACTCCAGGATGCCTATGGACTGCTCAAGAGTGGGGAGGTTTCTTATACTGAAATTCCTCTGTCCTGCACAGGCATCCTCCTGAGATGGGCCTGGCCAAGGTGCGAGGATCGCCTCCCTTGGGTACAGGAAGAAGGCAGCCAGAGAGGTGGTAAGGGCTCAACTTCTCTTTTTTTGAGACAGGGTCTCACTCTGTCACCCAGGTTGGAGTGCAGTGGTATGAACATGGCTCACTGGAGCCTTGACCTCCTAGGCTCAAGCAAACCTTCCACCTCAGCCCCCCAAGTAGCTGGCACTATAGGTGCATGCCATCATGCCTAGCTAATTAAAAACCTTTTTTTGAGATGGGGTGTTGCCATTTTGCCCAGGCCAGTCTTGAACTCCTAAGTTCAAGTGATCCTTCCACCTTGGCTTCCCAAAGTTCTGGGGTTGCAGGTGTGAGCCACCACTCCTGGCAGCGCTCACCTTTTTTAAGCAGATCTTTCATCATGGCACAAGAACAGTCATTATAGATGATCACGTCAAAACCTAGTCTTCGGAAGCACTTGAAGAGCGCCTCGGCATCTTTGTCTGTTCCATTTCGAACGCCCATACCTGCGGGAATCAAGCAACGAGTCCACAGGTGAGCATCCCCTGGCTGAATACCACATGCGGGTACCAGTGGACCAGGCGCTAAATATACTGGTGCCGGATGCAGCAGAAACACTCCAATATATATAACGCCTTCCACGGCCCCAGTTTAAACAAATTGAAGCAAACTCAAAGGGGAGGCTAACAGTGCAGCCTGCCCGCAACAAGTGAGCCTCCTGGTAACACTCCGCTCCATCAAAGCCAAGGCCTCCCTTGATTCTTAGCCCTTTGGTAAAAGCCCCGCATCAGCTAACACACGTGGTGGGGCCTTAGGCTGAACGTTCTCTATTTCCACATAACCCTTTCCCCGGACACAGGAACTCCGCCTTCAGAGGGCTTGTCTGCCACAGTAGGGGGGTGCAGCGTTTCTCCCATAAATGTCCGATACAAATAGGAGAAGATGAAACGGAACCGGAAAGGATCATCCACACCCACACACCTACCTGTCACTTTATCAAAGTTCTTGTTGTTTATTATGATGCATTTGCCCACCTTCTCAAAATTCATGCTGTACTGATACGTAGGCACTCGGTCCCGGGTGGTCTTGATGGATTGCTCTGAAACATTTTTCTTCTTCTTACTGGGGAAATAAAAGTTCCACAGTCAGGGGCTGTGGAAGAAGTGTGTATAGTAATGCCTCTTGATTTTACTACGAGCGTGAAAGAGGGCGGTGCCTATGAAAACCGCAATATCCTTGGAGAAAAGACCTGGTGTGCACAGGTAACTGTTTAATTGTCATATTTAAGTGGAACAGGGTCCCCTGGCAGATTTTATTAGATGCCAGAGAAATGCAAATTAAAATCACAATGTGATGACAGTACACACTCACCAGAATGGCTACAGTGTAAAAGAAGCAGAGTGCTCAGCCCTGGGGATTGTCAGACATTGCTGGTAGGTACCTACTTTGTACCCCCATTGAGGAAAACTGGCAGAAGCTACTGAAATGGAACATACTCATAACCTATGCCAGAACAACTCCCCTGGGAAATGCAAACATGTTCACCAAAAGACAGGCCCATACATGTCACGGCAATACCATTCAGCAATAGCCTCAAACAGAAAATGATACTCATGTCCATCCACAGTCAAACGCACACATTATTGAACGTTCATCTAATGAAATACTATACGAGAATGATCAAACCACCACAACGTGAAGCAACATGAATAAACCTCACAAATATAACACTGAGTGAAAGAACTGACATGCAAAAGAGTACGCACAAAGTTGAAAAGAACAAAACTAATAACTAGGATTAGAAATCTGGAGATGGGGTTTTCCCTATGGTGGAGGTCAGAAACCAGAGGGATATAGGGCCTGTCTTGAGAGTGAGTTGTATTTTGTTTCTTGGTATGGGTGCTGGTTACATGTGTGTTTCTGTTGGTGAAAACTTATCAGTGTGTATACTTTCTCTGTGGACGCTACGTTTTAATAACATTTACATTAAAAGGGGGAAAAAGGAGCTGAGAGATTACAACAAAAAAGTAGGCTCTTTCCAGTCTCCAGACAATTGGTGGTCCAGTTTGCCAAAAGTCTAGCAGGTAGGCACCGTGGTGGGACATGAAGCACTATGGAGTGGGCAGAGAGACACATGTCCAACGAGGGTGGGAAGCCATCTTGCCAGCCATCCATGCCAACGTGAGCTCCAGGGGGAAGATATTTCTCTGTCCTGAAAATCACTGAATCCCCAACACGGAGAACAATGCCTGGCATGTAAGTTGCTCAATACATATTTGTTATATGAATGAATCAATAGAATCATATCCACTTCATTTTACAGATATGGAAACTGAGGTCCACTGGGAGACAGGGGTTGTCCCAGGACACCCAGCTAGTGACGGGCGGGTCTGAGTCTGCAACCCTGTCCCCTGGAGTATTTGCTAGAAGGTTCTACCCGCCCTTCTCCCACAGCGCCCAGCCAGGGTTAAAGCAGCAAAGTACAAGTTAAAACCCAGCCTGTTACCTGACAAACGTGGGGTCAAGGGTACTGCCCTTGAGTTGTCATGGACTTTTACGGTCAGAGATTCTCAGAATCTCTGAAAGGGCATGGCCTCCCCACCCCCCGCCACTCTTACCTTACTCCAAATTACACATGAACTCTGTATGTCTAAGCTACAGATGCCATATCGCTGTTTTTCCCCTTGAACATCACTTTATCCTCCACTTTTTGGAAGGTCAAATTTCTTCTGTAATGCCATTCTACTTTTAAAAGAGAAATATCCTGAATCTGTTTCGCCTTCTCTGGGCTCCTCCACTGTTTTGTGTTCTATCTGATTTACAGGGCGACACTGGCTTTTCTTCATATTTCCTCCCACAAAGCAGTCGCACAAAAGAGTGCTGAACTTGGGGCTGGTCAGAGCTCTGTGTTCATCCGCCGGTGTGACCTGATCCAGTGAGTCATTAATCCTTTGCAGAGCACCTACTTCCTCTCATGTAACGCAGTCAGTTGCACGCAGTAGGTGAAGCATTTCGTGACTTTCACAAAATTAGATGGGAGATGCGGTGGCAGCAGGTACTTCCTGTGATGTCTCCCTGCCCCCTGCCCCTTGGAGATGTCAGTATCAGCAAAGGGAGTTTCAAGGACATGCCATTCAGACAGCAATAGGATTTCCTTATTGCCACCCTGTTAATAACTGCTATTGACAGCGTCTTCTGTACTTGTTAAAATATGTATGTACAGCCTTTCGAACACACAAAATCTTTGGTCTTTAATGGGTGCCTCAAAGGTAGGTAGAGGGGGGATAATCATGCCCATTTTACAATAAGAATAACAATGAACACTTGCCAGTGCTTACTAGAGGCCTGGATCTTGTTAAAACTCTAATCTGCATGTCCTCACTGAATCCTGATAGCAATTCAGAGAGGGAGGCAGATGTCATTGTAACCCCCTTTAAGGATGAGCTGTAGAGGCTTGGGTGGGGAAGTAACTAGCTCAGGGTTGTGAGGGGGCACAGCAAGTCCAAATCCAGGCAGTTGGCCATGGATTAAAAGGGTTAATATTGTTAAAAATGTCCATACTGCTCAAAGCAGTCTACAGATTTCAATGCATTCCCTATCAAAAATACCAATTACAGTCTTCACAGAAATAGAAGAAAAAATTCTAAAATGTATATGAAACCACAAAAGACCCAGAATATTCAAAGCCATCCTGAGAAAAATGAACAAAACTGGAGAAATCACTTTACCTGACTTCAGATTATACTACAAAGCTATAGTAATCAAAACAGCATGGTACTTGCATAAAAACAGACATACAGACCAATGAGGGGGGGGGAGAGAGAAAACCCAGAAATGAATCTATGCATTTACAGGGAACTCATTTTTGACAACGGGGCTAAGAACATACATTGGGGTAAGGACAATCTCTTCAATAAATGGTGCTGGGAAAACTAGATAACCATATGCAAAAGAATGGAACTAGACTCCTAACTCTTGCCATATGCAAAAATTAAATCAAAATGCATGAAAGATTTAAATCTAAGGGCTGAAACTATGAAACTGCTAGAAGAAAATGTTGAGGAAACCCTCCAGGATGTTGGTATGGGCAAAGATTTCTTGAGTAAGACCTCAAAAGCAGAGCTGACCAACACAAAAATAATACATAAGTCCAAAATACGTAGATTTACGTAGTTATTTCTTATTAGTACCTGCCACCTATGGGCCAGGAGCTTTATAAAATCACTGCATGTTCTCCCAGCCATGCTGCCTTTGTGCAGATAAGAAAATTCAAGTTCGGAGTTGGAATGTGACTCCTGGTGACCTGACCCCAAAGGGTATTCTTTCTCTACTAGACTATTTTTTCTTTGAACAAACACTGTCTTTGACATTAAAATTCAGGACAGGACTTACTCATCTTCCAGGTTACTTTTGTGGAAGGTCGAATATAATCTGTGACCTTTCTGAAATCAGGTCTCCTGGCCCAGTTAACCCCTCTACCAAGGTAGCTTCAGGATGGGCTTCATCCAGTGCTCTCTGTAACCCTTAATAATACCAGAATGGGATAAAAGTAAAGAATACTGAATAGGTAAAGTAGGGCTTTTGTTTATTTATTTATTTTGAGATAGAGTCTCTCTCTGTCACTCAGGCTGGAGTGCAGTGGTGCAATCTCGGCTCACGGCAACCTCCACCTCCCAGGTTCAAGCGATTCTTGTGCCTTGGCCTCCCATGTAGCTGGGATTGCATGCATGCACCACCATGCCTAGCTAATTTTTGCATTTTTAATAGAGACGGTGTTTCACCATGTTGCCCAGGCTGGTCTTGAACTCCTGACCTCGGATGGTACACCTGCCTCGCCCTCCCAAAGTACTGGGACTACAAGGTAGGCTACTGCGCCCAGCCTAAAGTAGGGTTTTTAACATGTCAACTGAATTTCAGAGCAAGCTTCCTAGGTCTTGTAGCTAATTTAAGGCTATTCAAAGATCCTAAGAGTAGCATGAAGTCTGGCAGGCTGGAAACCACAGTTTATGCACTAAAGTCCCTTCAGAGATAAAATCCTACTTCTTTCTTCTGTGATACGGATCTCTATGATGATATCCAAGTAATAAACAAGCTGGGATTTTTTAAAGCTGTCATTAGCTCATCCTCGGTGATGAACAAAACAAAACCAGCATGTATCCTTTATAAGAAAAACAGAATTAGATATGTTTAAGTGAAAAATAAAAGGACTCTGGTTCTATCAGAATAAAACTTGGAAAATTAGCTGGTTACATA